TTAGAAGGCAAAAATTAAATGTGCAAACAGAGCTAATGTTTAATTTGGGGGGGGGGAAGTGGCAAGTTCCTCCTTCCTTTATACAGATTTCTGCTGTCAAGCTTCATTTGGGGTATTGTGATTCAGAGCTCATCTTCCAACTACAAGAGAAATAAATATAGGGCCTTAGGGAGAGAATGATGAGTAACTTGGTTGGGCCTTGTCAGACTGCTACATCTGGCTAATATAAACCCATGTCATCTTTTGATGACAAAACAGATAATGTAGAATGCCTTTCAGTTCTATAACTTTGATCTCATATCTGAAAACACAATGTCTTAAAATGAATTTTAAGTGATCAGTGTATTATAGTAGAGACTATAAGTAACTTTTGATTTCTGTATAGCTGCAGTAGCTGCCCTCAGTGATGACTCTTGCTTAAAATTTTAGTGGACCTTAATCTGCTTTGAAAATAAACTTTCCCACAAAAACACTGATGCGACAGCACTACAAAACAATTTAAAAGATAGCTTCTTCTCAAAGATGTAGAGCACCTATATCTTTTCTAGCTGATATTTGTAGAGGACTTTAAGAACATCCAGGAGTTTTTAAACTGTTCTCGTATTCACAGGTGTTGAAATAAATATCTCCCAAAATTGGATGTAAGCTCCAATAGTTCACTTTAACCTGTAGGTTACTGATTTAATTGTTTTGTACAAGAGCTTGTTAACTAAATGTGCATATCAATCATAGTATGAGATGTTTCATTTTGAACCACTGTTCTCATAGGGGATCGTGTTGTCAAAATAAGCACATCAATACTTTAACATCTGTGCTTTTAAGCTTGTATTACTTTAAATTACATCCTCCTTACCACATATTCTCCTTGGCCCCGGTTACTGGCGACTTAACCAATTCTAGGCTGAAAGTATGGCCACTTGTGAAGACTGATCCTCTCCAAGCTTCCATTCATACCAGCAAGTTATTTAACAAATTTTTGGTATTCATTCTTGACACTGACAATGTTCTGTGCTGAGGGAACAGAAAAGAGGAAGGGATGCTGCAGAAGTCTGCTTTTCTGATGACTCTGCGGTGCATATCCCTAACTGTCTCTTTCTAATGGCACAGTAGATGCCATAAAGATATCTCCAACACTGATTTGAGGTGCACTCAACTGGCTAGCCTCTTTATACAGTATGACTCTTGGAGGGTGGATGCCAGTTCAGGTTCTAGGGAAAAGTCTAATCTGATTACCTTCTGATGAACTGAACCATTCTGAGAGCACCATTAATCAGGAAAGACTCCTGGATGGTGAGTAACTTTCTGACTGTTCAAGAAAAATCAGTAAGATTCAAGTGGTATTGATGCAGGACATGCTTGTTTAGAGAAGCCCTCTGAAAATGACTTAAGTATTATTGTGTAGTTGTACATATAGCCTTAGTGGATGTGTTTTGACTTTATTAATTTCCTTGAAAGGAATAAAAAACTAATAGTAGCTCTCATATTGTCTTGTTTTAAACTTACTATCATAGTGGAGTGGGAAGCACTTGCTGAAAGACCATCGATTCATATTAACTATACTTTTTCTATAGTTTCTGAAATACTGTAACTGTATAGTTTGTGTAAAGAATTAGTTTGTTGTATGGTACTTAAGGCAGCTCGTGTTGCTTAATTGTATTGTTAAGTTCGTATTTCCACCCTTGTTTTGGACATGCTAGAGCTTTGGAACAGAAAGGTATGCACATGGTTCTAGGAATCAAATGCTTTCGTTTAGAAGGTAGAGATACAGGCTACCTTTATGGGCCTCTAAAACTTGCCTGGTTTAAACAGCCAACGGTGGAATTGCAACATAAATAGCAGCCACAAACTGTCACTAAGCAAATACTTGCTTTCTCTTCTCCTTACCTTAAGACCCTTTAAGGAACAAGATTTTTTTATTGCATCTGGAATTTTAAATGTGTAGCTCTACTAAAAGTATGTGCCATTGAGGGTTGAGATGCTGAGGGTACCTAATACTCCCAAATATCAGAACTACTCTGAAATTGCTTTATAAAGACTGTTAACAATCCTAGCGTAATACATTGTGCATGGGTTGGTTAGCTTTCCTTGTAGAGTGCAGTTCTTCATGCAAGCTAGAGGTGTCTCATTGGTAGTTCATTTCAGGAAAACCTTGGATTTTTACAGCCAGCAGTATGTGTTCAAATGACCTAGGCAGTGTATTACATGTGAATGAAAATCTGTTCACAGAAAGTTTACAGACTTTTGGAAAAATGAGGTAATAGGAAAAGCAAGTGCTTAACAATCTTCAAAATGCAACTCTGCTAGTAGTCCTTCTAAAGCTTGTTGGTAGTCTATAGTGTCTTTAACATGTTATGGCTGCAAGAAGAGTGTTTTCCCAGATGTCAGAGGGCCTTAGTGTACTTGTAATTAAAAAAAAAATGTTCCCCTAAACTTGCAATATATTGAGATCTATTTTTTGAAATAACAGGAAATAACAACCCTGAATCCCTCCTTGCAGACTTTTTATAGGAGTGGCTTAGTCTCAATGGCACATCCTTTTGAAAGGTTTTGGAATCAGTGAAATAGTGTTGTGGTCAGAGGTCAGATGGATACTAGTGGTGTAGCTGTCACAGATCAAGAGAATGTTGAGTCATCTAGTTAATTATAGCTGGCACTTCTACTCCCCTTGTTCTGGTGGTTGCAAATGAATCATGCTAAATTTCATCTTCTCACTGTGTTTGCTTTTTCTCATTCATAGAGGTCCTGTAATAAAGGAGGGTCTGTACAATCTCAGAAGGAAAATGACTTGCAAGTAAGTAATTTAATTTGCTTGTCTTAGAGAATTTTGCAAATGTCCCGACTTGTCCCAGACTAGTAGCTACTCAGCTTGGAGTCTGGACTACATTTTTAGAATCCATAAAGAATAATTAGGAAAATAATCTATTTGCTCATAGGAGAACCATAGCTGTAAGGGTATGTGTGCGTACCTTTGAAAAATTTAAGCATCCGAAGTTAACAGGAACCTTGCCCCTGCCAAGGCTGCCCTAATGGTTTCTTACCAATCTTGATACTGATATTACTACTGCTTTTCTTGATGCTAGGCTTCTTTCTGTAGCTTAGCGGAGTCTCTAATCTGCTTTCTCATGCCCATTTTATATTACATAATTTGAATCTTAAGTTTGAAGTATCTGGAGCTAGAGAGACTTCTGAATATGTTTTTGATTAGCACAGCGCTTGCAGCAACTATACAACCATTTCTGCTCACGCAGCATAATGTCAGTTTAGTGTAATTTGTCATGAAATATCATTAAAACAAAATTTGGTAGTTCAGATTTTTAACCCGGCATTTTTTGCCTTATGCAAGCACTTCCCCTTTTGATTCCGTAATAGTTTTGGCTGCCATCTGGGAGGAAACAAAAGTACACTTAAGAGTGATAAGTGCTACTGTTTTTCTCCTTGGTATTTCCTGTTCTCTGAGAATGCCATCTGAAACTCCTCAGTTATAGTAGTCTGTGTGTGTGTGTGTCCAGGAACTGAACTGAGCATAAACTGGGTTTGTGCTTCTTGAATTGTTGCTTTTGAAGTTTTGTTGAACTTTGAGTTAAACTTGCTGGAACAACTTCAGTCAGTTGAACTAAGATGGTTTTGTGCAGAGATGGAGAATGGAGTGTGGTGTTTGTGTGCATGTGTGGTGTGGGTTTTTTGGGTAACTTTCAGTTAAAAATAAATAAATAAAAAATTCTGAAGCTGTAAAAGAAAATGTAACCCAACCCTCATTCCAGTAACTCAGAGGACTTGCAGTACAAGAAGTGAGGCTTTGAACTTCAGAACTGTCCTGATTTCTTCCCTGAAAACAGTGCTTTGAATTTCTGATAAATACTTACAGATTGTTTTATGGAATGAATCTCATAGTGCTATAACTTCTGGACCAATTAACTCAGAAGTTTCTGTCACGGTGAATTTGATAATATACTTCAGTCTTCCAGCTGAAGTATTGAAGGTTTTTATCTGTCCTTGTCTAAATTGGAGTAGCATACCAAAAAAGTCTTGTCAAGGCTGCTTACAATCTTTAAGTTTCAAATGCAACATTTGGGATGAAGTATTCACTTCAAGTGAGTGGTCATATTCTCTCTAAAAGTTTGTATTAAGTGCAAGTGCTGATGCTTGTTATTTTAAAACTGAGATCTAAGTTAAAAAAGCTTCAGAGCCTAAAACTAGCGGACTATTGTCTTGGTGGTGTCAATGATATATTGAAGGCACTGATATATATATAGTTAGGCATTGTCCTGTTTCAAAAAAAAAAAGTCATCAGACTATAGGTGAACTCTTAACTGAAGAGTTAAATGTCTAAATTGAAGTGCCTGTAGGCTGTGATCTGAGAGGAGGCAAAATGCATTTTACTAGTTTACAAGTTTGATAACAGTGTATTTACTCAAGTTAGATAACTGTTAGGATTTTCTCAAGTCATTTATAGTCATTATAAGAAATGTTTTCCCACCCACACTTAGCAGTAGTGGTATGGAATAGAAACTCAGTAAAGGTTCCTCAGATATTATTATACCAAAGCAGAAACTTTGGCATCTGAGATGGCTAGGTTAGTGTTAAGACAGAGCTGTACTGAGGTTTATTCCCAAGGGAACAAATCTATTATAATAGAGACCCTTTTTTGTGCTCTGTTTAAAGCTTTTTTGCCGTCTGAATGCTCTGTGTCTGATCCTTTAAACGCGAATATTATTATCATTCTGCTTTTGGACAGCCTGTACTTTTCACTTCAAGCAGATTCCTTGTTCAGTTGCATAGCTAAGATGTCATGTTCCAAAGGCTGCTCAAGTATCTATGGATAATATTTGTAGTGTGAGTTGTACTTAATCAGGATAAACTGCTTTAGAAAAATATCTGCAGTTTCCACAGGCTAGGGAGGAGGAGAGGCTAGTTTGCTTTTTGCAGTCTTCCTTTCATGCTGGCTCTAGCAACAATATCTGAAGTCATACATGTTCCTCCCCCAGTTTTGAACTGTAAGGCACAATGTTTGTTTTTCTCAAATGCTAAATACAAATTGCTAGAAATCAAGAATATTTGATTAATAAAAGCTGAGTCTTTTTTAAATCTAACCCTCAACTTTTTTTTTTGAGACAGTTCAGGTCTTGAATACTTAATTTGTGAACAAGCACCAATTCTTTTTTTTTTATTATTATTATTACTTTTATTTTTCTGTAGGGAGCAGAAGCCATGGTTCTGGAAAGTGTTATGTTTGCCATTCTTGCAGAAAGAGCTCTTGGCCCAAAGCTGTATGGAATCTTTCCACAGGGGCGACTGGAAGAGTTCATTCCCGTAAGTCCTGCTCACAGTTACAGCTACTGGTTCACACAGTAGGATGTTTTAATTGATCATGACAAGACTCTGGACTGCCCAGAAAAGCCTGGGAATGACAGATTTGGCAGCCTGTAGTAACTGCTAGCTGTAATTTGATACAGTCATAGTGGGTGTTGGAAAGCCCAATTAAAGCTCTTGCCAGGAAGACTGTTCTAAAAACTCTTTAGCTGTAGGACAGACTAATAAATGAAGATAAAAAGCCTGTTAGATACCAAGCATAGCATGGGAAGCTCTTGAGTAACACTTTCCATGAATAGTGACAAGAGCAAATGCTTTTGATACTGAACACTTATACTGTCGTCTTTGAGGATATTCTTAGTGTGGGATATGATGATTTCTCAGGTCTCAACATCGAATTGTATTGACTGAGAGTCCCAAGTAAGCTGTGCTAGTGAAGCCAGCTTTTCCAAAAATAGCAGTTTTGTAAAATCATGGGAAAAAAATATTACTCGAGTATTATTTTATTGTGGTATTCCTATTTCTCAATTAGCTGTCTCTTAAAAATACTGTATTTTGTTACAGAGCAGAAAATTAAGTACAGAAGAACTCAGTTTACCTGACATATCTGCTGAAATAGCTGAGAAGATGGCTAGATTTCATGGCATGAAAATGCCATTTAATAAAGAACCTAAATGGCTTTTTGGAACAATGGAAAAGTAAGTTGCTAAATGCATTATTCTTGAAGTATGGAAAAAGGTGACCTGCTGTAATCCTGATAAGTAAATCATTCGTCATAAGAATGCCTGAGAATAGAGCTGGCTTTCACTGTGACTAAAAACTGTTTCCAGTTCTTTGATGAGCATGACATTTGTCTTGAAAAATGCTCTTTTTTGCCATTCCATTTTGCCATTAAGTTTTCTTCATTTTAGTGTTATTGATATTTTAGTACTTTTGTCCATAAATGTGGTATGATTGCTTTTGTTTCTAACAGATACCTAAATCAAGTGCTGAGGATTAAGTTTACCAAGGAATCTAAAACTAGAAAACTGAACAAACTTCTCAGTTACAATCTGCCGCAGGAAATGAAAAATCTAAGGTAAGTCTGTCTGAAGACATCTGGTCTATTTTTTCAATACCACTATCTTAAGGATTGCACAGTTTTAGTATGAATATGTCCATTTCAAAGCATTGCAAGGTGCATTTTAGTTTGGGGATTTTTGAGGGGTTCTGTAACAACCTTGAGTCTATCATACTGACTACAAATGGGTACACTTGGTTGACTTGCCTGTCAGTGCAATCTAACTTGTGTTCTGATCTTGCATTTGTAACTAAGAACACAGTTTTGTTAGAAATGAATAGCACTTCAAATCCTTCCAGCAAAATCCATGTTTACCTGTGAGTTGAACTGAACATAGTGATTTTTGTCGCTTACTAGAGATTATATTGCTGTTTTCTAGAGCTATGCTTGAAGCTACTTCATCGCCAGTTGTATTTTGCCACAATGACTGTCAAGAAGGTAAGCTGCTAATATTTCAGTTCCTTGCTCAGCAACGCAGTTTTAAGCCTTTTCTGATCACTTGTTTGCTCTCTGACAGGTAATCATGTAATCAAGGTAGTGCCCTGGCAGCTGACCTGAAATAACTGCCTGCGTGCTCCCAGCACATGACAGTTGCCAAGCAAAATGCAGTGGCTTTGGCAATGCTTCACACAAATGGAGACTGTATTGCATCATAACATGCACACAGGCTCTGTTAGTGCAGGCCAGCTGATGACGGGAGCCCTAGGCGTCTCCTTTTGGATCATACCCCTAGCTTTCTGTAGCATACACAAGCAGGGCAGGGTGGACTTTTTAACCCTTTTGAAAGAGAGATGCTGAAATGCTACAGCTAACAGCAAAAGCGGAGGCTAGACAGTATGAGTCAACTTGCATGGGCAAGAAACATCAGGGAAGCTTTATTCACCCTTCATTCCCTAGAAGTCATGGAGGGAACAGCATCTATTCTGAGTCGGTTCTCCAACAAAAGTAGTGGGGCTCAAAATGGTGCTTTGTGGTAGTATGGCTCAGTTTATGCTCCCTTTTGCAGGGTAGAGGGCAAGCTGGGCTGAGCTGGGAGGATGCACCATGTGCAGGGCTGTCTCATGTTCTCTGAGGGGAGCTTGCCTTGCTTGTTCAGCTGAGCATCTGAGCTGCTGGTGAGCAGTGTGTTGAAATAAAGTGGCCGGTCCAAGGCTTAAGACCATTAAAAGAGTGGTTCTCATTCCCACTGTTGTGACCGGCAGGAGTGCTGTGCAAGTACAGGAGGTGCTGCATAATTCAAATCTCAAGCAGTGAAAAAAACAGCTCAGCAAGGGCTGTTAAGGCTGGTAGTGTCATGTGATTTAGCTGAAAGCTGCAGGCAGTGGGGGGAAAAAAGGAAGGACCCTTGGGAGAACAAAAGTAACTTTCAGTTTGTGCAGGGTTGAAAATGGTCTTACTCCAGAAGGCTTGTATTGGTGATCTCAACTTTCAATGAGATGTTGAACTGTAATCCAGCTTTCATACTGCTTGCCTGCTTGGATATAAAGGGTGGCTAGGATGTCTGAGCAATGTTTTTTGCATGCAACATTGCTCTTCTGCAATTTCCCTGTTACTTTATTGAATATGCCCTAATATCTTAACCTTTTTTAGGTAATGTCTTGCTTCTGGAGGGCAGAGAGAATTTGGAAAAACAAAAGCTGATGCTTATTGACTTTGAATACAGCAGCTATAATTACCGGTAAATCATTTCTGCCTTTTATTCAACAAGCTACAGTGAAAGCAAGTGTTGGATTGCTAATTATTTGTCTATTCTAATGAGTTGCATTCAACTATATTAGTGGTGGGCAACATGATGTAACTAATCAAGACTGGTTTGTCCATGATGGCTTTGGGCACAGGCATGTCAGAGAGAGCATGGCCAGAATTTTGGGAGCTTCCTAGTCCTCCAGAGTTATTGAGGCACAAATGCTTCTTTAAACAACATTTTTTCCTCCAGCAGAGAGATGTGTGGTGACCTATGTACGTAGGGCATCTTTGCTTCCCCACTTATTTGTATGATCCTTTCAAACAGTTCTCATGTGCAGATGTTACCAATAATCCTACTTTTTTACTACATGGTTAACAAAAATGCTATCTGTTCTTCAGTCATTTACTAATTATGTTTGTTTGATCTAAACATTTTGAGTCCTTGAAAGAGTTAAATGTTTTTATAGCTGAAACAGATCCAGTCCATCTAAAAGTGTGGTACATAAAACTTTGGAGCAGGATAACCTCTATGTTTGTAGCAGTGTTGATACTTTTAGAGATGCATTAAATGCATACTTGAATGTTCTGTCTGCGTTAATTTAAAACCAAGTCTACTGTTCCCATGTAGCTGGGGAAGTTTTGACTGTGCAGTTTGCCAATTGCTTTAGTAAGGTACTTTGACATCCATGTAGCTGGGGAAGTTTTGACTATTGACTGTGCAGTTTACCAATTGCTTTAGTAAGGTACTTTGACAGCCCTACTACCTTTTTTTTTCTGTTTTCTATCCCTGCTATCACAAGGTGCAGTCAGCTATATTCAGCTGCCTTGTGCTATTAAAATTTAACAATTTTAGGTTTGCTTAAGTAGGAATGGGTGGCTAGTATGCCAATACTGAGGAATTTGGTCATTTTCTTTTTTCTTTCTTTTTTTAATTTTTTAGAGGATTTGACATTGGAAATCACTTCTGTGAATGGATGTATGATTATACATATGAGAAGTACCCATTCTTCAAAGCTAGCTTTCTTAAGTATCCTTCAAAGAAGCAACAGGTAGGCACATAGAAGTTGTTAATACCTGTATCTACTAGCTTTTATTTTAACTGTCCTTTCTATTTTGTACTACCGTGTCCCATAATTTAAAAGTAATGTTTCTCATCCTGACTACCTCTGCTTTAAAAAGCTTACAAACTTCATTGCAGCTATTTGGCATAGAATACATTCTTTGTGCCATCTAGCTATCTATAGCAAAAACAAAGTTCAGTGGTTCTGGAATGAGTGCCGCCGTGAAATTAGTTGGCAATAGCAGAATGTCACTGTAATATTAAAAAAA